CTCAGGCTGCCTAAGGTTACCAGTGTTTTCTTTTCATTGCCCCTGGTCCTTGATAACTGGAACATAGTGCAGGATATCCCTTTCAATGTACAACAAGGACTGCTGCAGGAAACCCCAGGACTCTAACCATGACTCTAATGAACTACAGGCCATTTAAAAGGGCAAATATGTCTAAGATAATAGTCAAAACGTTGATCCAGTGTAGGCTGAATTCCTGGGATTTTCAGTTTTTCATAGCCTCCAGACCACAGGTGAGCTGCATCCCCTTTCCAATTACTACATCAGTGAGCTGCATAAACCATCAAAAACGAGTAAGAAAATGTAACGCTTTTAGCTAGAACCCATGGGAACAAAGTGTAATGATTTGCTGTGCCTTTCACAACATACTCACTGCTGTGCTGCCAGGGAGAAATGCACAGATCCTTAAATAAAAGTAAATAACAGATAATGTCTCAGATAATAGCCCTATAAATAGATGTCTGTCCTGGTTTATGATTTGAAATTTAATTTCTTACACTCTACTCACTGCACCTAATTGCCATGTAGCAAGGTTTATGCTCCATACCTAGCTAGTCTCAAAGTCACTTATTTCCATGGTTAACTTTTGAATAACTATCTATTCCTGCAATGCAAATCTGCAGACAGGAATTTTTGACATTTTTCAGTACTCTCAGTGAGAATCTCATTTTTGTTCCTGTATGTGCATGAAATGTTGGGGGAGCAAATTACATTTCTCAGTGTGATTGACTCCTGTGGAGTTATTTGTCTAGGTACCAGCTTGAGGCTCTAAATATTTGTTGGAAGCAAATTCCATTTGGATTTGCAATTTGTGAACCTAATTCTGTTGCAGTTCTAGAAAAAATTATTCATTTGAAATTAATATACACAATCTGCACAGTCATAAATGTTACTACTCAATAAATGAAACATTGGCATAAAGAATTATAATTATTTTCTCCTTTTTATAGCTTACATTAATTTTTTTTAATTTGTTTTTTGGTTATTAAGGCTGTGGAGATTGCACTCAAGTCTTTTCTACAGAGACAATCATAAAGTATTTAATTGCTTTGTGTTTTTAAGCTGAGACTCTCACTGGTTCCTCTCACTGCAACAGATAGAATACCAGATAGCTGCAGGATTTCTAACAAAGGTCACAACAGTTAAATGCACCTGGCATTAAGAAAACTCTGTATGCAAAGCTAGGAGGCATAATGAAAACTGGGAGGCTTTATTCCACTTTAGCCAAAACAGATTACAAGAAGGGTGTGAAGAGGGGCTGAGGAAACTACAAGCCTGTTAGTCTAAAATCAGTACCTGGAAAAATTATGGAGAGGATGACACTGGGTGCTAAAGAAAAGCATGTAGAGGACAAGGCAGTCATTAGTTTTTTGCTGGAAGCTCATTCACTGCAAGCTGACAGGTCATGTACACCTGATCCTCATATTTTATTTCCAGACATTGTTGAATTAAGTACTGAACACAAAACCTGGTTTTGCCTTTTTTATGAAATAATGTTGTTTCAGACCAACACATGAGTATCTGTTATAACTGATGAAAGGATAGTGGTGTATTTCTAGAATTCAGTTATTGAACTAATAAAAGAATGAGATTTGAAAAAAAACCCTGTTTGGTTGGGTTTTTTGATCATTAAAAACCTGAGGATATTCTTAGCAATCAGGGACATTGGAACTGCTCTGTCCCAACATTGCAACAAGGTTACTCTTGATGTGGTTTGGTTTTGATCAGTCTTGGCTTCTGTGTTAAGGTGAAATGCTCTCCATCAGCAAGGTTGGATGGAGGATTGGAGCTGCACAGAGTAAACTCAGAGAGGGTTGCAGTGGCCTCTGTTGTTCCTGATTCTTCCTCACCTGGGTAATTGGTGTTTTAATTACTCACACCCAATTCAACCAAATGTATCTCACAGTGGGAAAAAGCTACTTGTACTTGTTAATTTTTTTATTTTGATTTTGGATTTTTATTTTATATTTTTATCTTTCAAAGCACCAGTTCTTTCAAAGTAATTCTAATTTTTCTGAAAAATTAGCTGGACTTACTAAGTTTAAACCACATAAAGAATGTTGAATTATTTTATCTCTTATGAACTACCTCTTCAGTGTACTCCTCATTTTCCCTTGTCTTGAAAGTAATAGAATTCAGTGTGTAGTGGTATTAACTGTAGTGCTATTAAAAAATTCAAACCTTGAAGTCTTACTGTGCCAAACTCAAAAATAATGGATTTTTTTCCTGAACTTTTGTGGTCTGGGATTCTATAAATTACAATGTTTGTCCTCCAGAGAAAAGTGTAGTTTGTGTCATGTCAGTGGGACTCAATAATAAGGTGAGTGAAGATGAATTGACTCCTGCCAAGATGTGCAATTAAATGCCATGAATTTTCTTCTATACAAAGAAGAAAATTATTTTCTGTAATTTAAAGTCAACTTTTGTGTGTTTGTCTGATTGCTAATATTTGATTTATTCTTGACTCACATTACTATGATCCTAATTTAATATCTGAACATTAATTCTCTGCTGGTATAAGACAGAACTTTTCTGTGTCTGAAAACAAGTAATCCTGCATTCATGGTCAGTTGTCTTCAGAGCCATGCCATAGAGCCATCCATCATAAATACCAGTGTGAGAAAGGCTAAGCATCTTCCTTTGGCAATAAGTGAAGATAAGAGGAAGTGTAAATGATACCATAAATCATGACAATACACACTAGAAGAAGTTGTTGGGCAGTAGCACGGCCACAGAGATGAGCAGGCAGAGCTGGCAGCCAGGCTGAACCTGAGAGCCCAGCAGTGAAAGCAGAAATCCAGGAAGCAGGGCCCAGAGCTAGGGGAATCTGAACATCCTGTCTAGGTTTTCTAGGCAGCCTCACACATGCAGGAATGTAGGATATGCTCAACAAAAGTACAGCTCACTTGCTATCTCATCAAAGTAGGGAAAATGAGGTCTCAATTGCCATTAGAGGTACAGCAAGAACAATAGATCCTTGCTGTAGAGCACCCTGCTGGGAAGGGAGAGATTTCTTGTTCCTGAGACAGTTTGCTGTTAGTCCATTGTCTAATTGTCTAGATTGTCTAGCCTAAAGAATAGAAATAGATCTGTAACACCTGATGGAGGCCTAAGTTTCAAATATAAAATCTGGATTTTTGCCTTAGGTGCCTACATGAGCTAAATGTTTTTGATAGAGAGGAGCTTTTTAGTCAAGCAGATGGAAAGCAGCAATGCTAAGAAAGTGAAGATAATTAAGTGTGGGCTGGGAGCATGAAGAGAGCAGTAGAGTCCAAGGGCTTTCAAGAGCAGCCTTATGTAGGAAATCAGATTAGGTGAGGGATGATGAGAAAGTCTCCCTGTCTCTAAAGCAGCCTAGCCTTAAAGCAAGTTTATAAGTCACTTGAAGTTAGTGGAGCTATTACAGCTGTAAATGTATCTACTCTTTAGGACTGACTTTCCAGTAATGTACAGAAAATAATTTAGTAGACTCTTGTAACAAGAAAGACATTTTCTTCTTCAAAAGTTGTCTTCTCCTCACACCCTTTTGCTCTCTTTCCCTCTGAGAAATAAGGCATCCTGTTGCAGCAAGCAGTGATTGCATTTCCTATGTGTCTTTTGCCGTATCCAGCTCTACACTAAGTAACTGCAAATTGTTGTCAGGATGCCAGAAATAGCTGTGCCTGCATCCAGTTAACTCAGAAATGAGTCACTGAATTGTAAGGAAAAGTGGAGTAAAATGCTGTGCCTGGGGAAAATATCCCACTGTGCCCTGTGTAGGTCTGTGTGTGGGTTTTTTCCCTACGTAAAGGATAGAGTAGTGCTATTCCCAAGAGAAGTCTCTGACTCAGCTCTATTCCATGCCTGGGAAGGAGCTATAGGAGAAGCTGACAGTTAAATGGGGGAAATGGATTACAGCTATGGATTCCCCTGAAGAACACCTTTTCTTTTAACCCATTTGCTGGGAATAGGTACCACTGAAAAGCAGAGGATTTTGGCAGGCTATATATCTCAGTGCTACTGTATAGTTGGCTGTTGCTAATAGCAAAGATCAAGGAAAAAACTCGTGGAAAGAGCTGGACTGACATTGATCTATTCAGGTTTTTCTTCTTACAGGAGAAAAAGGAAGGGGACTGGAAAGCATATTGAAAAATATGGTTTTAAAATATTGTTTTAAAGCTCTTCAAACAAGTTCCTTCTGTCATAAATCCTGGAAGTGGCATCCAGTGTTTTGTCACCAAGAATTTCAAAGAAGCTGCAAGGAGAACAAAACCATGGGAAATAACAAAACCCTTCCCATTGTGTCATGACTAAGAGCCTACCATGGAAAACCATACAGTTTTGAAGAGGGGGTTGGGTCCCAAACCTTGAAAAAAAGAATGGAAATATCATACAACCAGAATTTTAAAGCCTTCCTCAGCAAGATATAATGGGTTTATGACACCTAGGGCTTAATATTAATCTAAATCACTTTTAAATCTGATTGTATAATATAGATGTTAATAAAGTTGCAACTTGCCATATCCCAGTCATGATGTGGCTGTCTGTTTTTCCATATATGAATAGTCAGAACTGAAGGTTCTTTTTTCTTTTTTTTTTTTTTCCCCTGTAGAAGTCAATACGCTATTTAGAAATGCTCATGGATTTTAAAAATTGAATGGTTCTTATCAAGGGAATATTTCACCATTTTATTAGCTCAGATAGAAAATGGATTTCCCCTGAGTAATACTAAAACAGATAAAGCTGAAAACCTGACTAAAAGATGAATATCTATCAAGTATACAAATCTTCCAGTGTAAAATAAATCTGAGTTAAACAGAATTTGACAGGACGGACAGAGCAACCAGGAGCAGTGAGTATTAACACATAGAGAATAATAGAAATAGTTTTCACTGTTGCTTCAAATATATAATAACCAAAAAACTCATCTGCTTTCTTGGGATTTGAAATGGATACATGCAAAATAGTGGAAGTAAGCATTTCTGTTGCTTGGTTCATTGCAGGTGTCGTGTCCCTGATCTCCCTGGCTGTGCTGTCCTACGAGCGCTACAGCACGCTCACCCTGTGCCACAAGCGCAGCCATGATTTCCGCAAGGCTCTGCTAGCAGTCGGTGGTTCTTGGATTTATTCCTTGTTCTGGACTGTGCCACCTCTGCTTGGTTGGAGCAGTTATGGAGTAGAAGGCGCAGGCACAAGTTGTTCAGTACGCTGGTCCTCAGAGTCTGCTGAGTCCACGTCCTACATCGTCTGTCTCTTCATCTTCTGCTTGGCTGTCCCCGTGATGGTCATGGTGTACTGCTACGGGCGCCTCCTGTACGCGGTCAAACAGGTAAGCAGCTGCCTGCTCTCACAGTGCAGACTGCTCTCAGGCACATTCTGCATTTCTGTTTCATCTAATTTCTGATGGTAGAGAGCAAATCAGCAAGCCAAAATGAAATTGAAAAAAATACAGAAATCCTCAAAGAAGGAGCATGAGGTCTTCAGCAATCTTAATTCTCCCGTATTCTCATTAATACAGATTTTATGAAAGATCATCTTTTCAAGGAATTAGAAGTCAATAACATCCTTAAATAAGTTATGTTAATAGCAAATGCCATTTAACAGCATTAAAACACCACTCCACCACTATTTCTTGCCATTCATCATGCTTGAAGATCCTTAGGAATTACATTTTTCTTTAAAGTTATGGATTTTTTTTTCCAGGCTGGCTTTATCTGGATGGTTGGGTCTGATCAAAGGGGCAAAAATTTCTCCCTCGCAAAATTTATTCACATGTATTTTATTCATGCACATTCTACAGCACAAGGGAAGGAAATTGAGGATGGTTTATTTTTCCTTGTACAATCATGGGATTTTTTTTTCAGTTTTTGGCTTGTGATGCTTCTCTGTGACTCTACTCTTTCATTCCCTCTGGAAAAATGTTCTTTCTGAAGTCACTGTCAGTTATTTACACTTTGAAAAGTGGGCTCCCAAATGTAGAATTACAGAGATTAGCATTGCGATCACTGTAGCACAAAAGACACAATGTGATTAAAATCCTCCACTGAGGGGCCCAGAGAACTCATGTGAACCACCCTAATGAAAATTAGGAAAACTTTCGAAAAGAGATCTCTTCAGCCCGCATTATCTCCTACTTAAATGCAAAAATCCTGCCCAAGGACAAGAAGAGTCCCAGAAGGACGTTTCAAGAAAAGTTTTCAGTTTAGTTTTATTAAAGACTCTCATCTCATTGTCAGTCTTCTTTCATTGAAAGCCATGCTTGAACAAAGCTTGGAACTTTTTGTGAAAAGTAGCTAGGACATGGAAAACAAAAAAAAAGGACTGTAAGCAGAGCACAAAGACTTAAATAGAGTAAGAGAAAATTCTTACTCTGCAAGAGACTGTGTGTTGAAGTGGGCAAAGGGCCAATGTTTTATGGAGTTCTGGAGTAGATGGACTTACAATGTGACCTGATGGTCCTATTGTGTGATGGCTTTCCTTTTGTTTATTTTTCCTGCCATTATTCCAGACTATGAGTTTGTCTTTGAAAAACAAAAAAGAAAGAAAACAGAAAAAATATTTAGGGAAAATTTAAAGACTAAATGATGCAGAAGTTGGCCTTACCAGTATGTCTGGTCCTCCATCCTGTCATGAACCTGTTCTTGCTTAATTCCTCAAAAACATCTAGTTTTAACTAGTGACCAAAATTTGAGTACAGGTAGTGGAATTACCCAACTATTTCCTTTTACATTTTTTTTTTTTTTGTTTCTTTTGAAAAGTGACACACTATTTCTGACTTCCAGATATCATAGGAGACCCAGATAACCTTTTATTGTCCCATCTCCTGACTTTTATGAGTCTTGTCATCTTGTTGGGGAACTGGGAAAGTCACAGTTACACAGTAGAAAGCTGTCTATTCATCTTTCTTACTCTTCTTCCAGATTTCAAAGTACCAAATTTAGCAGAGGAAAAGTGCTTCCATCTCTTATGTCAAAAGTAATGACCCAGAGTGAAGTTATCACCTGGTTATAAAGGAATCTAATTTTTAAATATGTATGGTGAGATTTTGACTCTAGGTTATTTTTTAAAGATTTGGGTATAAACAGCAGTGGTGGTTTTGAAATCTCCTCTGCCCACACAGAAAATCTAAGAGAAAAAGGAATGAAGAGAGGTAAATTTTTTATAATTTCTGATTCCTTAATCTCGATTTATATCTGTACTATTTTGAACAGTTAAACAATATCTGTAAAAGCATTTATTGTAACACAAATCATTAAAGTAGTCAGGAAAGGACAACAAAGTGGAAGGACCATGACTGTGAATGTTTCCAGTTTTCCATCTCTTTTGGAAATGATCATTTTGAGGAAGAGAGCACATTAGGGCAGAATGCTTAGTGATTTAAACTGTAAAAAATCTCCACATAATGCAAAGAATAGGATGGGAATGTAATTATTGTTCCATCATTCCTTCATGTGCTTCATATGACTATCTATAGAAAAACTTGATTTTCTGAAAGTTCATATTTGATGGCACTGAAGTTACAATTTATGTTGAGAAAACTGATAAAGCAATTAGGCACCATTAAATCTTAACTTCTTAGAACCCCAAATAAAACCAGATTTGTAATCATAGAAGCAATGTTCAACATTTTTCTTGTTGTTTAATTAAAAAAATAAGTCCTAAGAAAAGTAATTCAAGTGAAGATGATGTAGACCTGGTTGTATGGTTCCTCTAGATCATCCCTTTCAAATGTGATTAAGTATGTTTGGGATTTGCCTTGGTTTCAGGTATGTTTGACCCTTGCTGAATCTAAACCTAAACAGACAGATTTACTCATTAGAAAGCCATATCTTATTATTCTTTACCATACGCACATACATTTTATTTATTTTCTTTGGATCTTCATATACCCTTCCCCTCCTAGTTTCTGGTGGCGTAGAAGAAAAATGATAAATAGTTTTGCTTTTCATTTTTAAACCTTGCCATAAATATATAGCAATGACATCTCATTCAAAAGAAAAAGAGATTTAGTTTGCAAATTAATTAATTAATAGATGTCTTCTGTCACATCGTCATGAAGAAAAGGGAACTTAATAATATAGAAGTCTCAGGTTGAGAGAATTGTAATAAACTTACAAAATATAATGAAAGGCATTGGCTGGATTATCAACTGCTATCACAAAAAAAAAAAAAAAAATTTCCAAATTTTCTATAAGCATTGACCAAGCACCTAGCAGTAAATTTTCAACATCTGCTTATTGGGAAGTTGCTTGACCTTTGCCAAATTCTTCATGTGCAAGCCACTCTACAGCCAGAGCTCAAAGCTGGCAACAGACCACTTTTTGGATTCTGTGATAAGAGGAATATTTTGTGATAACAGACACTAGTTTTTTATTGTTTGATTCTATGGTATTTGCCACAAGAATGGACTTTAAGAGAGCAATTTGCATTCCTGTGTAACACTGTAATTTTTTTCAGAATTTCTAGATCATATCTCCAGTAGAAAAGCTGACTACTTTTTGTTGTTTCAAATTAGAGGAGCACTGAAAGACATTAGACTGCATATAGTATGTATCTGTGATCAGTGATCAGTTCTTTGAAGTTCTGATTATTTTCAGGTCTTCTTGGCTTCTAAAGGTGATCAAAGTTATTAGAATTCTGTAGGTGAACTGATATCTGGAATAAAATAGTCATGGAATACTTGGGGGGGAAAAAAAGCCGTGTCTCAATGTTTCTTAATAAGTTATTAATTCTGTTGAATATGTAATTCATTTAGACTCAGATTGCAATCTGTAGATGGTATTACATACATAAGAAATCCTTGCATATCAACACTTTCTGTTTAATTTTTTTTTTTATAATTTCTGTAAGCACCCTCATCTTCAGAGCCCATGAGTCCCACTGCTTCTTTTCTTCTTTACCCTCACACCATTCTTTACGTAGCTAGATCTCCCCCTTCCTTCCTTCCTTCCTTCCTTCCTTCCTTCCTTCCTTCCTTTCCATACATTTTTTCCTTTGTTGGTTTGAAGATGCTGTGAATATACACTGATTTTCCAAGGCTTTGCAAAGCTTATACTACTATTCCTATTGTACTGAGAAGAAATTTTCAGAAATTATCTGTGAGAATTCAAGGCATTTTACAATTCTATCTAGCCTATTTTTTATTCCATGTTCCCTCTGTACTCAGTAGAGAAAGAAAATCACATCAAGGAGATTATTCTCAAAACCAGCAAATTTTTTTCAGCTGCTGGTACCTGAGTAGCATTAAAAGAAGCAAATTATATTATAACAAAACAAAGAAATAGTTTCACCTTTTAAAAAGTGTGTGGTGTATCGATAATTATTATATGTTTAATGGTATGTGTTTTCAATTATTTTCAAAAAAATGCTACAGTAGTTAAATTATTATGCCATTATGTCATTGTTATTTAATGCCAGGTCATAACATAAAGTACAAACATAGCATAACTTTTGAAGCAAAATCTGTAGCATTCTGACACTAACTTCCGACACTCATACTTTTATAAACAGCAATTTTCAGATGCCAGTATTTCACATTTCAGACAGTTATATCCTTACATTTTTGTTCAAGAATATTTCAGTGAAGACAGTGCTGATTATTCCTGTTAGCTGATATTTTTTCATTTTATTTTAATGGGAAACCTGTTTGAATAAAAAGTTGCTTTCATTAGCTAGGAAGAAGATTTACTAGCATGCTTAATTTTTAAAGTGGTTAATTAGTCTTGTACTCTTTTGTAACTATTAGAGTTTTCCCAGGAGTCAAAGTGATTATTAGGTAGCTATCATGAAAACACTGTAAGTATAGTATTGATTTTTGGGGTTTTCTGCTTTCAACTGCAAAAAATATTTCAGTTTTGTGCACTACATTTATACCAGTTTTTATGAAAGGATTCTGTCTCAAGGGAATGAAGTTCAGTGTCTTCTGTAACAGTGGAGAAAAATGTCAAATCCTGAGAAATAAAGGAGAAAGCTCACATATTTTCTTCCTGTATAGCTGCAAGGCTTATAAGTTCACCATCTCAGCTTTTGGGAGAGTAAAGGTATGGTGAATCAATCCTACATAAAATACCTTTCAAAATCTTTAAGGACATCAACAGCTGTGCTTGCACAGACACTTCTAGCTCATGGGTGACAGGTATACTCACTCAGGGCTGTTCTCAGCATTTCTGATTAAAGAGTGTCAACTGAATGTTATAGCATGTCATCAGATTGATCTTTGAGATCTGATCATGCTGGAAGGGAAGCAGACATGAGAAAAGATTATGATCTTCTTTCCCCTGTGCTTGCAAAAGCATAAATCATTAGTTAATTGTCTGTGTTTTGCAGAGA